GAAAGGCTCAGGGAAGGAAAACATTCAACTGCAGTAGAGGGAAAACATCGCACAGTTGGGATCCTCCTTCCAGATGATGCTGTGGTATCTTCTCGCACCGAGGATACCTCCCCAGGAGAGGGAACACCAGACATTAGGAAAAGACAGGTGTGAGCAATGGGGGATTTGATCATTAGAAACATAGCTGGGTTTGCGATGACCGGGAGAACCAACCATATGGTGTCTTGCCTGCCTGGTGCAAAGGTTGCGAATCTCCTGAGACATCTAGATAGACTTATGTGTAGTGCTGGGAAGGAGCAAGTGGTCATGGTACATATAGAAACCAGTGACATAGGGAAAGGAAGGAGACAGGTCCTGGAGGCCAAATTTAGGCTGCTAGGAAAGAGATTGAAATCCAGGACCTCTATGGTAGCATTCTCTGAAATGCTTCTAGTTCCACACGCAGGGCCAGGTAGGCAGGCACAACTGCAGGGTCTCAATGTGTAGATGAGACCATGGTGTAGAGAGGAGGGGTTTAGATTTATTAGGAACGGGGAAAACTTTTGGGAAAGAGGGAATCACCTAAAGTGGGAGGATGGGCCCCACCTAAACCAAAATGGAACCAGATTGCTGGCACTTAACATTAAAGAGATCATAGATTAGTTTTTAAACTAAGGGCTAGGGAAAAGCCGACAGGTGCAGAGGAGCACATGGATTGGACAGAGACACCTCTTAGGTGAGGGTCTATTAATAGAGATTTTCTATGTTCTAATCAGGAGGAGAGGATAGAAGATGATAAAGTATGGGTAAGATCAGATGAGAAACAGTCAGATGAAAAAGTACCATTCAAACACATCAGGAAATGGCAGATAGCTAAATAGTAACACATTTTTAAAGTGCTTATACACAAATGCTGGAAATATACATAATAAGATGGGTGAAATAGATTGCCTCATATTTAATGGAAGGGCAGAATAGGTCGTGCTGGGGGAATGGCACTATACGTGAAAGAAAATGTAGACTCAAATGAAATAAAAATCTTAAATGAACATAAATGTTCCATAGAATCTGTATGGATCATAATTCAATGCTCTAATAATACAAATATTGCAGTAGGGAAATATTACCAACCACCTGAGCATGATAGGTATGGTGACTGAAATGATAAGGGAGTTTAGAGTGGCCATAAAAATAAAAAACTTAGCAAGAATGGGGGATTTCAACTATCCCCATATTACTTCAGGGATGGACCTCTTATGGACTGATAACTTGTTAAAAGACTGGAAACAAAGGGTAGGAATAAATGGTCAGTTTTCAGAATGGAGAGAGGTAACTAGTGGGGTCCCCCAAGGGTCCATACTGGGATCAATCCTATTCAGCCTATTTATAAATGATCTGGAGAAAGGGGTAAACATGTGAGGTGGCAAAATTTGCAGATGATACTAAACTGCTTGTGATTGGGCAACAAAATGGCAAATGAAATTGAATGTTGATAAATGTAAAGTAATGCACATTGGATAAAATAATCCCAACTATATATAGAAAATGATGGGGACTAATTTAGCTATAACTACTCAAAAGAGAAATCTTACAGTTGAAGTAAGCAGTCCTCCATCTCGGTATTATTTCGAAATAATGGCTTGCTGTGTAGATGCACATTTTGTTATTTCGAAATAACATCACTTATTCTGAAATAATGCTGCTGTGTAGACATACCCCCTATGATTACCTGTTCTGTTCACTCCTTCTGGGCCACTGTCAGCAGACAGGATACTGGGCTAGATGGACCTTTGGTCTGACACAGTATGGCCATTCCTATGTTCTTAAAGAAGAATAATGAAAATGAAGTTAGGAAAGCTGATGAAACTTTTTCAAGCCTTACAAAAGTTTTGGTATCCATTTGCAATAATGTTCAGTTTATTTTTCATCCTGTTTTTCCCATTGTTAATTGTGGTTACAGCTGACACTAAAAAGATTAGTTGCAATGCACAAAAATATTACATTGTTGAACTTTTTCTAACTTCCCAAATGGTTCAAGTTCCGATCAAGCTTTATGGCAGCGTTCCAGATCAGCTTTAATATCCATATTCACACTATAAGCTCTTTAGGGTCTGGCCTGTCACTTACTATGGTTTGTACAACTGCTCACACAAGGGGTCCCAATCACAATTGGGGCCCTGCAGGTGCTACCACTATGCACATAAATAATAGGCTTATCTGTCCCCGGTGAATGTGTATTTTGATTTCTTTTGTACTGAAAACAATAATAATCCTTTGCCCAGTGTTAGAACTGTCTGACCTTTCTGAAGTTATGGATTTGATCTGCAAGCCATATTGTGCTGACAGTCTTCACATAGCAGAAATTAAGTATTGTGTGATTGACAGGATTCCATTGCAAGGGCATTAGAGAACAAATCTAGCTGCTCAAAAATTGATTCTGGAAGCAGAGCTACCAGTCATGCAAAGTCTGTTTCTCTAAACTCTACTCCAGAGTTTTTGAATCTGCACCTAAGATCAAAATAATTTTCCTTTAAAATTTATAATCAGTCTGATGGTTATTCTGTAACCATTCTGCATATCCTTACATACTGTTGCTCTCCTATTTTAAGTGAGAATCTCTTTTTGTCATACTTTACGTAGTATTTATTATTGCTAATCAGAACTTGCATATATACAGTGACTTTAAAAAAAAATTTCTTCGCAAGTTTTTAAAACAAAAGTCAATTGAAAACCCAGGCAAATAGTTTGCTTTGTGGTTTTGACTAATTTTGATATTTGGAAGACAAATAAAGTGTTAGTTTTTACCTACCTAAAATATCTTGTAAATATTTCAGTTTTAATTATATTTAAATCAGAGTCTAAATTTATGTCCCACTAGAAGATTTACCTGGAGTTGCTTGGGTCCTTAAATCAATTTAAATAATTGTTCTGGGGTGGGGCTGGGGATGAGGGGTTCGTTATGCAGACTGTCAGAGGTAAGAGGACTACAGGCAGTCCCCGGGTTACGTACAAGATAGGGACTGTAGGTTTGTTCTTAAGTTGAATCTGTATGTAATTCGGAACTGGCGTCCAGATTCAGCCGCTGCTGAAACTGATCAGTTTCAACAGCGG